TATCAGCTAGGGCTTGCTGTATATGCCCTGGTTTCCTCTTCTGAAATGTTTTGATGCTGTTGCTACAGTTATTCTATTCCTGCTGAATTACTTATTGGGCAGATGGGGAGAAGGTAATTTTTTCTGTTAAATCGTGAAGAGCTGCCATCTCCAGCCCTGAAACAGACCTCCATGTAAGTGTGTCAACCAGAGATCTGAATCCCAGGTTTGAGGCCATGACAGAATGGAATTCTTAATTTGTAACCCTAGAGAGTTGGGCAAATATGTTTTTCTTTTTTTTATCTTTTCTTTTTCTTTTTTTTGAGACTGCCTCACTCTGTCATCCTGGATAGGGTGCTGTGGCAACATCACAGCTCACAGCAACCTCAAACTCTTGGGCTCAAGTGATCCTCTTGCCTCAGCCTCCCAAGTAGCTGGAACTACACGTCCCCTCCACCTCCACAATGCCCAGCTAGTTTTTCTACTTGTAGTAGAGAAGGGGTATTGCTCTTGCTCAGGCTGGTCTTGAACTCCTGAGGTCAAGCAATCCACCTGTGTTGGCCTCCCAGAGTGCTAGGATTACAGGTGTGAGCCACTACACCCGGCAAGAGGGGGGGTGAATATATTCCTCAGCATAGGAAAGAGTGAACTGAATGAAGAATGGATTTGGGGAGTTGTCACTCTTCGAGTGTTTCATTTTCCTTTCTGGTGCATGCCCCCTTGAAGTCAGGGGTGGCCACATTACTTGAATGGAACATGAACAAAAGTGACATATCCTTGCTGAGTGGAAGCTTTAGGTTTCAGTGAATGATTCACTGTTTTCTTCAATCCGTGCCTTGCTAATGATGGAATTATGGGCCCAGAATGTGCCTTCATCAGCCTGGGTCTTAGGGTATTCATGACCCTTTCAGCAATTAGCAGGGGCCTACCCCATAGGCCAAGACAGACATGAGGTTTGAGCAAAAAATAACTGTTGTGGTAATACACTGAAATTTCTCACCATCACCTAGCCTGTGCCATCAGCATCACTGTGGTCCCTGGGAGACACTTGCCTGCACCCCAACATCTTGCTTCCAACAAAAACTGTGGGGAGTTCCTGACCCTTAGTCTTTCAAGTCGCAGCAGCATCTGAGGCTGTCATTTCATGCTGAACTGCAAGAACAGTCAGGAAAGAACAATCTAGGCTCTGGGGCCAACCTCCTTAGCTAACAGGGGGCTCCACCACTTACTAATTACCTGAATGACTCTGAGAAACTCATATAAGCTGTGTAAAACAGGGGAAGGTAATGGCATTAACCTGCTCTGCACCTGTGTAAGAAACCACCCTGAAACCTAACCACTTATCAGGCTTGGGGCTTATCAGTGAAGAATTTGGACAGAACGCAGCAAGGTGACTCATCTCTACTCCCTATGCCAGGGGCCTCAGAGAGAAGATTCCAAGATAGCTGGAGTCACCCAGAGGCTTATCCACGTGCCTGGTGGTTGATGTTGTCTGTTGCCTGACTTTGGCTGGGGTTGCCAGCCCAAACTCTTACACGCAGGCTTCCTTACAACATGCAACAGAAAAGCAAGCAGAAGCTGCATCCCCTTTTGTGCACTAGCCTCAGAAGTCAACACAGCACACTTCCACTGTATTGTGTGAGCGACTGCAATCTTGAGATCCCACTCAGGCTCAAGGAGAGGTGAAATGCACTACTGCTACTCCAGGGGAGCGGCCGGGCTCTGCAGAGTACTTGGGACCAGATATCTGCTATGGCCACTTCTAGGAAACAGTCTGCCACAATCCCGCAGGTAAGACTGTGTGAGTTAACACAGTCAAGCACTTAGAACATTCGGCAAGTACGTTTGTTGTGGATTTCTGCCTCGCTGTCCAGCTCCACTCCAGAGTCCAGACCAAGGCAACCCCACGTCAGGAGGAATTAAGGAGCATGCCCTGACTCTGTGGCTTCAACAAGAGGTTCACACAATGTTCGAATCCAAGTAGTTTCCCACAGCTGGCTCGGTGGCTCACGCTTGTAATCCTGACCCTCTGGGAGGCTGAGGCAGGTGGATTGCTTGAGCTCAGGAGTTTGAGACCAGCCTGAGCAAGAGCAAGACCCCATCTCTACTCAGAATAATTATCTGGGCATTGTGGTAGGTGCCTATAGTCCCAGCTACTTCAGGGGCTGAGGCAAGAGGATCCCATGAGCCCAAGAGTTTGAGGTTTCTGTGAGCTGTGATGCCATAGCACTCTACTCAGGGTGACAGAGTGAGACTCTTGTCTCAAACTAAAAATGTTTTCCACAAAGTGTGAGGCATAATCCTTTTGAGGATGAGCTAGGAGTGGCTCGGGGTTAACATCTTTTTATATTTCCCTTGTAAAGGATTTACAAGACTTAAGGCCTTGTGCTAACCAAAATGAACTACCTATGTACAAAGAATTGTGCCTCACAGCAAGAGATTTTCAAAAAAATGTTACAACTGTTTAAAAGTAATGGTAGGATTTTAGGTGGATTTTACTTTTTTTTAATAGAAGTATATCATTCTGTCAAAGTATACATTAATTTTTTTAAAGTAGATATTAAGATGAATTGAAATAAACCACTAAGGGGCAGGTCATTCACAAGGGTGCTCATGTCAGACTGAAATGACAGGATGGTTTCAGCCAATAATCTTTTAACTTATGTATGAAAGCCCTGGACTATCTGTTGTTACTGGTGCTGTGTGAATTAGATACCACAAACCTCCCTGGCATTGAATCACCAGTACCAGAATGTTCCAAGAAAACAGGCATGGCCAATACTAAGCTGTGGAGTCATGCACATAAATCTAGTGGCTATCATTTCTTCAAATCTTCTACTATTTAAGTTGCAAAAGAAGAGAAAAGGCTAACTTTATACCATGTGCCAAGAACCTTTGCAATTCTGGTGTGTAGCTTGAAATCCAGCAAGTTGCTGCTGTTGACTGACCCACAAATTGTTGCTATAAAATTGGCTTTACTACATATCTCTGTTAATAAACTTCTGGGTAGTGGTGGCGCCTGTGGCTCAGTGAGGAGGGTGCCAGCCCCATATATAGAGGGTGGTGGGTTCAAACCTGGCTCCGGTCAAACTGCAACAAAAATAAAAAATAGCCAGGTGTTGTGGCAGGTGCCTATAGTTGGAGCTACTCAGGAGGCTGAGGCAAGAGAATCACCTAAGCCCAGGAGCTGGAGGTTGCTGTGAGCTGTGACACCAGAGCACTCTACCGAGGGCGACAAAGTGAGACTCTGTCTCTAAAAATAATAATAATAAAAATAAATAAATAAACTTCTGGGTAGTAACTAAATATCCCAGATCTTAGTCATTAAAGTTAAAAATTGAGAGTCAAACCCTAGACCCTGGAAAACTGACAGTTTGTTATTTTATGTCACCCCAACCTTGCTATGTACATTGATTGTATAATCATTACCAACCAAGTTCTGCAAGCTTTTTTTTTTTTTTTTTGGTTTTTTTGTTTTTCTTTTTTAAGAGACAGAATCTCACTCAGTTGCCCTGGGGGTTGAGTACTATGGTGTCACTCACAGCAACCTTAAACTCTTGCCCTCAAGTGATTCTCTTGCCTCACCCTCCCAAGTAGCTGGGACAACAGATGCCCGCACACAACACCCAGCGTTGGAGACAGGGTCTCACTCTTGCTCAAGCTGGTCTCAAACCAGTGAGCTCAGGCAATCCACCCACCTGGGCCTCCCAGAGTGCTAGGATTACAGGCATGAGCCACCATGCCCAGCCCTCCACAAGCATTCTTGATGCCATCAGCTTGACTGGCTGAGGCTTTACCAGAGTAGATATGTCTGAAATCAAATCAGGCTAAATTTAAGCAATTCAAGTACCTACAAACAAGATAATCATTAAAAGCTATCTAATATTAATGACATTTTCTCAGTTTCCTGGAGACATTTTTAAACTAGAGGTGAAAGCCTTATAGCTAGGCTCAAATACACCTCTTCCCACTTACCAGCTAAATTCCTGCCTACTCAGTCTTCCCATCAAGTATTCTTTATAATCACTTTCTAAGAGACAGGGTCGGTCTCACTCTTGTCACCCAAGCTGGAGTGCAATGGCACCATCACAGCCATTGCAGGCCAACTCCTGGCCTCAACAATTCTCTCACTTCAGCCTCCTAAGTAGCTGGGTTACAGTGCGACCACCACACCTGGCCCATCCAGCACTCTTGTATATACCTGTACTCCAGCAGTTCCCTTTTCAAAAGTCCCTAAAAGTTAGATTCACCTTTATAATGTATTTCAAAATGTCCCTAAAGTACCAATGACATTCAAATGAAAATCTACTTGTTCTTTGACTGTGTCCTTATTATACTTTCTCTTTCAACTAGTTATAAAATTCCTTTTACCAGAAATGCTTAGCTCAGGTTCTTCCTCTAGAATAGGGATCAACAAACCACAGCCCATGGACCACATCTAGCCTACTGGCTATTTTTATAAATAAAATTTTAATAGAACATGCCCTTTTATTTATATATTGTCCATTTAACTCCTTCTGCACTATAATGGCAGAGCTGAACAGCTCCAACCGAGGTCTGCAAAGGCTAAAGTATTTGCTTTATAAAAAAATAAAGCAATTATTCCAGCCCTTTAATAAAAAAAAAAAAGTATGACCCTACTCTATAATAAGTCTCCATAGAAATACTGGCTCAACATAAAAAAGAAAAAGTGAATTTTTTTCTTACAAAACAGAGTTGTCATGGACTCAAGTCTCCAGGGTGTGTTTAGCCAGCTCTTAGGGACATAGGCAGAGCCAAGACAGGGAGGCCATGAGAGGACCACACAAAGATGAGGCAAAGACTGGATGGGGGCCAAGTAGGCACCAGACCCAAGTTCTTCTGTAGCAGCTCTGCCAGGAGGGCTGCGAGTTCCTGCAAACATCAACTTTCCCTTTTCCTAGCTCACCCTCCAACCTCACCATGATACTGCAAAGCTGTTCCGTTTCTACTTACCTCTAATGAAGGGACTGTACAAATATAAAAGACTATAGCAATAATGTTTTACATCTTATAGTTTTATTTCTTCCAAACCCAAGTAAGCCTGGGGAGTTCTTATTGCCCTGTATCCACCACTGTCCCCTACCCTTGAGAACAAGAAGAAACATTTGCTTTTACTCTACAGCTCGGCGAGTCTATGCCTTGGCAGCTGACTTGTAGTGCATTAGCGTGCGGGCAGAGGGGTCCGTGGCAGTGATCCACTTGGGCATCCAGTAATGGGTCAGCCAGTTGGCCCGGCCTGGGTAGTGGCGTTCAAAGATCTGACGGTAGTAATAGCCTTCTTTGGTTTTCGGAGTATTAAAGGGAAATTTCTGAGCTGCATTTGCCATCATTGTATCATCAACCTGTAAAAGAGCAAAAACAGTTTTTCACATGGTGTGGAAATACTTATATTTAATCTGGTTTCATAAAGTGAACCAAAAAATTTAAGCTAAGGCATGGCTGTAAGTTGTACCAGACCTTTTGAATAACATATTGCTTAAAAAATGCTAAAATATCCACAACATAAGTAGCTACAGTAATTTTTTACTCACTACGCTGGTCTCAAACTCCTGGCCTCAAGTGACCCTCTCACCTTGGCTTCCCAAAGTGCTGAGATTATAGGCATGAGTCACCTTTAAAAACATTTATATGCATATTTCTAATACTTGGTGGCTCTGATGTTTTATCATTTGTGCTTCTTTTTGTGTGATACTCAGCAGACACCCAAAAATGTGTTAAAAGAAGGTCAATGGTGATTAGTGTTCTCTCTTTCAATTCCAGATACTACTTTATAATCCCTCATGCTACTTAATTCTTATAGAAGAGGATGGGCCACAGGAACTGTGAATCTCTCTTACAGATAGAAAATATTCAAACTAAATACAAAATGAGTAGCTAAGGACAGCTCTGCATCCAAATTATCCCATCCTGAAAATGTTATTTTCAAGACATCCCACCTGATGTTCAACATATTCCTGTAAAATCTTGAACCAGGAATTCTTAATTGAGGTTATTCCATCACTGAATGCTTCTTTTGGTCGCCAGAGAATCTCTTTGGGTATCAGATTGGAGTCCTCAAACGTCTCTCTCAAGAGATGTTTTTCTATCCCATTCTGATGTGAAAATAAAAGGAACATCAGTAAGAGTTAAAAATATAAACTAACAGCAATGGCCAGTTTTTATCTTGAATTGATTTGCCTACCTTTGGAATCCTCATTTCTGGTGGCAGAGACAAGTAATAAGAAGAAAAACGATGATCCAGAAATGGGACTCTCAGTTCAAGGCTTAAAGGAGTGAAGAAGAAAATCTAAATCAGAATGGATGTTTAGTGCCTGTAGTATAGATTTTAAAGCAATGCAACCAGATTCTGGGTGATAATAAGATTATGAAGTCAAGTTTACAAGCCTCCGAATGACTGCTCTCCACTAATGAATGAATATAAAAATCTTCATTCAATATAACATATCTGTGTATTATCTATCATGAGAAGTGGAAGTGTTTGAGACTATTTGCCTTCCTTTCTAAAGTCATAGAATGCAGAGGACCAGGCACAGTGGCTCATGCCTGTAATCGTAGCACTCTAGGAGGCTGAGGCAGATGGACTGCCTGAGCTCAGGAGTTTAAAAACAGCCTGAGCAAGAGCAAGACTCCATCTCTGCTAAAAATAGGAAAAACTAACCAGACATTGTGGTGGATGTCTATGTAGTCCCAGCTACTCTGGACGCTGAGACAAGAGGATCACTTGAGCCCAAGAGTTAGAGGTTGCTGTGAGCTATGATGCCACAGCACTCAATCCCAGGGTGACCCAGTGAGACTCTGTCTAAAAATAAAATAAAATAAAAAATAAAGAAAACAGTAGAATTCATATCCCAAACAGCAGAAAAAGTTAAGAAACATGAGTGACCCAATCATTAAGAATGTAGCTTGCCTGGACCTTTCTGACTCAAAGTTTTTCTAGTGAGACAACTGTAATGACAATTCAGTATCTTTTTTTACCTAACTGATAAATAATTCACATACAACATGCAATATAAACCAATATTTGATCATCAAATGCCATATATCATCCGTTCCCTGATTCCTAGTGACTCTGGTTAGGATAATAACCAAGATTCAGTTCATTCCCCAAACCTATATAAAATCATTTGCTAATCTTAGTATGATTCAATAGAAGCAACTAAAACATTTAACATAGGTTGTTTATCATGCACAATAAAAGTCTTCAATTCTCCAACATGATCAGCTAAAACATAAAAACTTTAGCCAACTGAAAGTAATACCAAAAAAACCTGGTTTCTTATCATCTTAACCAAACCTCTTGCATCTTCACTGCCCTATCCCCTCATGGTCCCTACAGTACCACAGGGGCATGGCAAGTGTTCAATACTTGTTATGTGGAGTTCATAATCTTTACTTCTTTTAAATAGCTGGAATGGCCTTCCCTCTTGGTTGTTTAGATGTGAACAGAAGATGGGTATACTTTATTTTTTTGTTTTTGGTTATTATGCTTCAAAGACGAAAATCCCACCTAAAACAACCTATAGATGATCCCTCCACAGTACCAAGATAACACTTTTAATTTAGCCTAATTCTTTTGGTGCCAAGAGACAAGTTTCATTTTATCTATAAAAAACCTTTGTAACATAAAGCCAACTGAAAAGAAAACACAAATCGGCCAGTGAGCTACTCCTTGTTGAGTTTTTGTTTTGTTTGTACTTGCTTCTTAAAATATCACGTTACCCGTGGGCAGCAGTAGTGCGATCTGCACGGAGAACATCAAACAGATAGAGTTCCTTCAGAAGCCTCTCACTCTCCTCCTCAGCTTTCTCAGGAGAAGGAGCCTGTTGTACAAACAAATAGCTAAAGTTCTAAAATACCAACAGCTCTGCTTTGGGCACAAAAACAGTTTTTATTTCTTGCATTTACATATATTCTAATGCTAAATGTGGATAAGGCAAAAAGCTAACCAAGAGGAGGGAAGGGAGTCAATGACTAAACAGAGGCAAGCAATCCTTTATAAAACACCCTCCCTCCCACCAAAGGGTCAGAACAGCAAAATGAACACTCTGCCTAAGGCCTAATTCCACAGGGGATTGAGAAATGGTAGGGGATTGAGAAATGGTGGGGGATTGAGAAATGGCAGAAAGGGGATTCTCATGCTTCAGGGCTTTTAAAGAATAAAAGTTATCTGACATTGTTATGACTTCTTTCTTCCCAAAAGAAATACAAAGCAAACACCATCACGTTTCCTCAGATTAACTCACCAGACACTCAAAAAAGTTACTCTTATACCGAAAGGGCAGAAGATAGAAAACAGCCAAATAATTCATTTCTTTCTTAATACAGCATAAATAGCCTTCCACTTCCGAGGGCTTACCTTGTGAAAATATATGTAACCCTGCGTAAGTTCATCTGATCCCTCTCCAGAGAAGACAACCACACTGTCTGTGTTCTTCCGAATGTACTTGGAAATTAGATACATACCTTAAATGAGAGAAATGAATGTCAATGTCAATATAACGCTCCACCAGAAATGCTTTTTATTTGGGTTTCAGGATCAATTATAAACTTCACTACTATACTGGACTTCACATGAAGGCTAACAGGTGAAGAAACCTGAAGTTTCTTGAACAAGTCTGTGGTAGTTTCTAAAACAATGACTTTATGAACCATTTATATGTACTTAATCCAAACGTTATACTGCTGCAAAAAAATAGCCCAGAACCACTCTATAATTGTGTGAACAGATTTTAAAATTCTAGTGTTTTTAGCGCCATCTCAAAACTTTACTAAACTGAATAATGACCCAGGTGTCATAAAATCAGGCCTTTTATACTGGTATTATTAATACCAGAAATAATAATAATGATGATGATGATGATGGTTTTTGTAGTTTAGTTTTAATTCTCTTGGCCCTTTTGTCTTTTGCCACTCCCCACTTACTAGATTTCACAAACAACTGAGGATATGACGTAAGTTATTAAAACATGCCTACTTGGTTCCCACTTCACGTCCCTCTAAGCCAGGCTTTCTTCTCAACCTCCTTACTAACTATCATCACCACACCGGGTGAGCCTTTTTAGACCTTTTTTTTTCCCTATCCCACTCATACCCCATGAATTTCAATACCACAGATATCTCGTTTATGTGCTTATTTACTGTGATGCTTTGGAGGGCCATAAATCATTGTAATAACTAAGTTTCTTTTGTCCTCCAAGGTAGTTCTCCTAAAAGAGAAATATCTAAGCTACTAACATGTAAAAGGCTCAACAACATTGGCTCAGTCTGATTTGGAGTATGCTTCCAATCTCTGCATGCATCTACAGGACAAAACTTGCATTGCTGCAAATCGATAAGTTGTATGATGAAATATTTGCCAAAATACATCTACAGTGAGTACTCCTTACTGAAAATGATTATCATGTAGACCTATTTTGCCATTTTATACAGACTTTAGATAGCCCTAGATAATATAGGTAGCCCCAGAAACTTTATACAGAGAAGTGGGGGAGGGGCAGAAAATATGTATCCACTCCTTAGGGAACTACAAGTCATGACACCATAAATGTGGAGGCTGAACTGTGTATTTATTGTTCTCTTCAATCCAAAGAGATTCTTAAATGGTCTTAAATAATTAATAACATAGGAATGTAACTGACATTCTCTCTTGAATAATGGTTTTTAAACCATTGCTTGAAACAATATTTTTCAAACCTTAAATTTCTCAGTATTAAGAAACTTTTTCATTATCATAAAATACCTACCTACTGAAGCACGAACTGTTGTAATGTCATAAGTTTCCAGGGAGAATATGACTTCATCCAGAGCCTGAATGCCTTCCTCAGAGTTAAAGAGGACTTCGTGATGTTCACTTCCAATATGATTTGCCACCTGATTGGATAAAGAAATCCCACATACTTGTTAAAGGAAAGAACTACCTTTGAAAAGGAGAAAATAAAGTCGGACAGAGTTCAAAAAAGCCTTACAAATTAACAGAGAAAATTAACAAGGCAAAAAAGAGGGAATGATTTTATGGGCCAATACCTACAAGCCCCACCCAGCTAGGTTCCCTTGTCTGCCCCTGTCTCTCTGTCCTCGACTCAACCTGAATTTCCCATCTGCTACCCCCATCCCAAGGCTTCAGCCATTCTCCCAATCAGCACCTGTTTTACCCCAACTACTTCATCTACCTCCAGCCCAACACAATCTCAACTCTGAAATTGTCTCCTTTTGGCCCTTCTGAAATGCCTCATTTATACCCAGGGTATTATTCTTATATAGAATGGCCCCACCCCTCATTCCGCTCCCTTTGGTTATTTGGATTCTCTCAGCATTGATCACATTGCACTGGACAACATCTAACAGACACTAAGTATTTATTGCATGCTCAGTTCTACCCTACTTTATATGACTAATCTCATTGCCCCTGAAAACTATCCCATAGAAAACGATCCCAAACTATCAGCACCACTCCCATTACATAAATGAAGATTCACCTGCTAGGGCTAAGATCTGAAACCTGAAGGCAGGCTGCAGTTGTAAGTTCCACACTACGCCTTTACTTTGGAAAGTAAAAATTATTACCATAAAGGCTTTGTGAGGACTGCATAGGTCATAAAAGATATTATAAAGTAACTAGAGCATGGTGCACAACACAGTGGATAGTCAACAGGCACATTGTTCCATTCTAATACATTTAATTTAAAGCAATTACCTGAGTCAATACAGCAGCAGAGGGAGAATCATCAGTTATTGACTCAGTTTGCATTATGATAACAAGTTCATTCTAACTACATACCACAGAACGGGCAGAGACAGCACCTTACCTTTCTAGCTGCCAGTAAATCAGGGCTGTCTTCCATGCCAATTGCAAAGGTCTGGAGAGTGTACTGTACTTGGGTCTCTTTTAGCTGCTTCACCAGAGTGGCAGCCACCAAGCTGGAGTCCAAGCCCCCTAAATGCAAGCAGGCAAGTATACTGGTTTTGTGCCTTGTGTAAGACAAGGGAAGATATGATATCTTATATATTCCTGTCAAACACCATGATCACAGTTTTATCATTTAAAATCCCCAAGTTTTGTAACCTGAAATCAAGTGTGATAAGAGAAAAATATAACATATAATCTGTGATAATGGTAGTGGTATTTGAATTGGTTAAAATTCACTACACAGAATTCTAAAGAATATTTACTAGTAATAGCACAATTTTAAGTTACAGTATTACGATGAATACAAATCATTTCACACTAAATATAACTAAGATTTTTAATTGACTATACCTGACAAAAGGCAGCCAATCCTTCTGTCTGTCATTAAACGCTTCTTAATAGCGTTGTTGAAAAGGATCCGGAGGTTGCTCTTCACAGTTTCTATCTCAAAACCTATAAACACAGAAAGTCAAGGAAACAGCTCTGAGAAGCCTGGGCTGACTTAGTCATTTAAATGAAATACACATTCATCAATGCCTATCAGGACACCATTTGCTCAACAGAGAAGTCTCCCAAATCTTAACGGGCTAACTCTAAAAGGAAGTGGGAAACAGGTCTTAAAACCAAAACCATGCAAATGGTGTGAGAGTATAACTTTCTTCCTCTGGGGGAGAGGGATAGAAGAATTAGGTGGGAGGGTGCTAGTTACCTGGGAAGAGCTTCTCCACATTGTCATAAAGGGCATGCAGAGGTTCGTCCCTACAGTGATGAAATTTAACCATTTCCACTGATGCAACTTTGCCATTTGGCTTTAAATCCAAAACTTCATAGTGTCCCGGAAGAAAAGGCTCCACTTTTAAAAAAGGAGCCATGGAGTGCTTCAACGATACAAGACCTATGAACTCAGAAAGATACCTTTATTCAAATTAGGTAATACTTCACAATAATTTGCACGATTCGTTAATACCCTCTGCATTCTCATTTGTTTTCCCTTTTAAATACAAATACATGCCTATCATATAATCAAAATAGAGAAAAAATTAGGTCTTCCCAAAAGCCTTACCTTCTACATATAGGAGTAGAAGCCCCACAGAGACAAACAGCAAGATTACACTGATTTTTAGTAATTCAAAGTAATAGAAAATCTCCAGTATTCAATTTCTTCTCCCGTGCTAGAATTTCTAATCAAGAAAATCTATTTTATATAATAAAGCAAACAAATGTTTAGGGTGTTAAGTAAGAAATTTCTGAGTTCCTTAACTACTAAGTTTGACAATTGGTATCTCTGACAATTCACTTTGACACTTCCTGTTTTTTTTTTCAATGTTGACCCTTTTTTTTTATTGTGAAGGTACATCATCATTGTTTTAAAAACACATTGTGACTTGTGATTATCTTTCCATTTTTTTTTAGAACAATCTTTGTGAAATCATGGAAAAGTAAAAAATTGGTGTTATTTTTTGAGTTTCCACAAAAAGTAGTAGATATGTGCTGTACTTGGTTGACCAGGTCACGAGGCTGCAGTGGATATCAGTCCTGGTAACAAGCTATGGAAACTCAATTCTCAACAAGCTGTGGAAAATGCCTTTAGTGATTATACCACCAGTCACTCTTGAGGTTTCTTTGCTGCAGGCATAAACAAGCTACCGGTAAGATGGCGAAACTGTGTCGATAGTATGCAAACTGCATACTTGGATTAATTGTACTGCTTCTTATTTGAGGCATAATAAACTAAACTTTTGATTCAAAATCAGATGTTTCATATTTAATGACATATAAAAAGAAAAGACACATCTATGAAGCAAAAAGATGAAACTGAATCTTAATTTTATGATAACCTGACAATCATTTCTTTGCTATCACTGAGGTATTTTTTTTTCACTTTTTTTTTTTTTTTTTGCAGTTTTTGGCTGGGGCTGGGTTTGAACCTGCCACCTCTGGCATACGGGGCCAGTGCCCTTCTCCTTTGAGGCACAGGCACCACCCATCACTGAGGTATTTTAAAGAAAACAGTCATGGTTCTCAGTCCTTAAACAAGCACAGTGATCCACTCTTAGATACTTTAAAGTCAGACATTAAGAAGTCAGACATCTGTCTTTTAACTAATTGTTATTATATACTGTGTGAATAAAACCATACAAATTTTCTCAGTAAGTTTTCATAGACAGTACCTCATCTGACATCACCATCATCTTTAACACAAAAATCAATGATTTGTAAATAGTAACAGCCTGTCTACCCAGAAGACTCATTATGATTTAGACCGTCAACCAAGTGTAGTACTAAATTCAAAGACCAGAAAAGGGATTCATATCTCAGGTAGGGAATAGAGAATAATTAAAAGGTTTTAATTTTAAGTATGCCATGATCAGTTGAGTTATATACAGTAGAACTTCTGGCTGTAACAAACTGGCCAACACACAGAAGAAGTCAACATAAGGAACCAGCCCTACCATACTGATAAAAACATTTGGTACGTGTCCAGCATATGAAAATTCACCAACTTAAGTATGTGGTCAACTGTGGATGGTCTACTGTATAATTTGTTCTTTGCCATTTGATTGCACTAAAAATGTCTGAAAATAAACCAGGTTGTTAGCAGCCACACTGTGACTAGTGTCCCAAGGACCCTTTGACTGATCTCATTATCCTTGCTTTAGCCAATATTCAATCTGAAAACTAAGTGAGAAAGGATTTAAAGAATGGCAAAAAGAGGCAGCGAGGCAGATTTTAGGATTTTACTGCTGTGCAGCTAAGAGATCAAAAACAAATGTCTTCCTAAAGTTTATCATCCAAAAGTGCTATGTAGGTCTTGCAAGTATTCTTTCCACTCTATAGACTGTCTTTTCACTTTCCTGATGGCGTCTTTTTAAGTACAAAAAGTTCAATTTTGATAAATATCTATTTATCATTTTTTGGTTGTTGCTGTGGGTGTCATATTTAAGAAAGCTTTGCCAAATTCAAGTTCGTGAAGATTTACCCCTATGTTTGTTTCTAAGATTTGACAGTTTGAGCTCTTACACTAGGTCTTTGATACATTAATTTCATTTTTGTACATGGTACAAAGGTCTAACTTCATTTTTTACACATGTATTATTTATATCAAGTTTTCCTAGCACGAGTGTTTGAAATTCTTTCCCCACTGAATGGTGCTGGCACCCTTGTTGAAAATCAAGGTGACTATAGATACAACAGTTCATTTCTGACTATCAATTCTATTCCAATTTGCAACAAAAAATTAATAATAAATGCACAAGGATTTGCTGCCAAAACTACTCTATTGTATATATTAAATGGGTGAGTTATGTGGTATATAAATTATATATCAATAAAACCTTTTTAAATGCTAATAAATTACTTGTGCTGTAACTGTGGCAAGGTAGCATAGTGAAGTAATTGCAGGGCCCAGGCCACCATTACAATATGACACAGGAAAACTTAAAAATACATACAGGATCCAGCTAGATGCAGAGCCTTTCAGCACAAGAAAAAATAAGTGACTGTTTTAAAGACTCACACTTCAAGGATTATAGAATTTAAGTGATTAAAAGGAGAATACAGCTCTTCTGTTTTTAAAAAAACAAAAATAAGAACCCATGACTTAGTCACTTGTAAAGTTTGGATTGTCTCCCAAGGAATTTTCAAATATGATTTAGAAGAAAACAAAACCAGGACAACAATGAAAATCTATAGCAAATCCTAGCCATTACCTTTAGCTTCTGAGCACACAGCCAAAAATCCATCTTCTGTGATGGCTTTAAACAAAGGTCTGACTCCATAGGTGTCTCTGCCAAGGAATATCTTCTTATTGGCAGTATCCAGTAAAATAAATGCAAACACACCATCCAACATACAGACTGTTTGCTCAATTCCTCCTTTGTCATAAAGATGAAGGATTATCTCACCATCCACTTTGGTCTGGTATTCAAATTCAAAATGTTGTTGCATCTTGGGGAACAGCAAACAAAAATGTTAGAATCCTTGTGCATTTGCCAATGATTTTTTATTGCAAAGTTCGTTCAACATCTCTCTGCTCCACAATCATTTCACGTACTTTGGTAATTTATGATGATAGCATTATCAAACATTAGCTTGTTTCAACTCATAATTCTGCAAATTTCATACAAAATAAAGCTGAACCCAGGAAAATCTGAGTTACATTCTGATAAATAGAATACAATGGCAATGTATCAGATCAGTGATGTGTGGAAGGACGAAAATGCATATTAATACATACTATGTATGTACTTTAATAATATAAACATTTACATATCAACAGATTGAGTACTCCTTAGCTAAGATATTCCAGAAGTCTTTCAGACTTTGTATTTTTTTTAGATTTTGGAATATCCACATGCATATAATGAGTTACTATGGGGATGGGACAACTCTAAACACAAAAATCATGTTACACATACACCCTATATACACAAGATAAAGGTAATTTTATACAATATTTTTAATAATTTTGTGCATGAAACAAACTTTGTGTGCACTGAACCATCAGAAAGCAAAGGTATCACTATGTCATGTGAATAATCTGTGACTGGCATCGCCATCATTCCTCACTCCAATGCTACAGATGAGCAATCACTTTCTTGCACTCATTCACACATAAGTACTTAGAAGTAAAAACCATGCCATACCATTAATACAGTGAGAAAGTGATGTGTTCAGGGCAACTAAGCAGCACAGGAGCATCACCAGAGCACCTGCATCAGCTTTTACAACAGCAGGCTTGCGGCCTCCTCCTACCATGCTGTGCTTTCATTAAAAGGTTGCTAGAAAACACTGTATTTTATTTTTTTAGGTAAGAAGAAACATCAGAAGCAGCTGAGGAACTAGGAAGTGGGTCCGAGAGGGATGAGGAGGTAATCCGCTGGGCAGCCTTTTTAAATGTTTCCTCCAGAGCCATCTGCTTCATTAACAATGGTTTTTGCCTTAGAAGCCTTTCTTTGATTTTATAAACTGACACAATTTCTTCCTCTCTTAAACATGCGTGCTGCTCTAGCCTTTCAGTAAGCCTGTCACGCATTTTCACCCTGTCAGCCATACCTGACACTGCTGTCTGGTTTGTCCAACCCCTGGACTTTCTGTGCTATAAACATTAATGCTTCCTCTTTTTTCTTATTAGTTATCTGCAGGCCTTTTGATCTATACACCAAGAGCAGAGATAAGCAAAAATTACACAGTGAGTACTGCACACAGGTCTTAGCTCCATGGGTCCAGCCTGCATCCGTGCAATTTTTTAACCCATTGTGCGTGCTTATGTGGAGAAATCTGGACACACATGGAAAAGATGTTTTACAGCGGAAGGGAGCTGAAAGGGTGTTTCTTCCCCTTGTGGACACTGAATAAACTATATACTGTACACAGGCATCTTGACTGCAACCTGTCACGTGAGGTCAGGTGTGAACTTGCAGTGTTAGGTCAGTGTTCAAAAAGTTTCATATTTGGAAGCCTTTCAAATTTTAGATTTTCAGATTAAGAATGCACAACCTGTACATGGAAGTTAAGGGAACAGGTTGCCTACTTGTTATGACACTAAATGTGTCTTCAGCAACTGTAAACTTTGGTTTGGGAAGATTCTATTGACTAAGGTTCCTCTGGTTTAGCCTCAAAGACCACACCTATCAAAATATAAAGCAAAAGGGCAGACATTATTTGGCACCATTCCCTGAAAAATGAATGATTCCATCAGAATGACAGGTACACAGTCCAAAACAAAGCTGCTGGCCCCCCCACAGTGGACTAAAACTCCCAGTGCTTCACCACTGCAGTGGCATTAAAGTTACCTCTCACTAACAGGAAGGTGACAGCGGAGCTTTACCAGTCTACATGCCCCAAAGGAACAGCAAAGAGAATGTCAATGCCACCAACCACATGCACCTACTCCCTAATTTGCTGGCTCTATCAGCATCCCTGGCAAATGGTAAGGGCAAAAAAAGGGTGATGTGTTCCTCTTCCTTTGTACTTATACTCACATTTGTAGCTGACAATAGAGAAAGAAGAGGTTAACATAAACAAAACCAGGCGGAAATCCTGCACATGTCTGAACATTTAAAACATGTTTTTTAAATTTCAAAAAGTGAACCTGTAGGTGTATGTATGGCCTGTAAATACGCTTCTCAGTCTAGCTCACGCCATAATTTGGGAAGCTTTTATCTCTAAGCACTCACAGAACTATCAAAAAATGGTTTGTGGCTGCCTTCAATTACTAGCAACAGTTTCCCAAATCTACCTCACCGCCCCCCCAACCACTTCTCTTTGACCTAAACCTTATAGGTGATTTATTCAGAAAGGAAGTCCTGGCCCCAGCAATTACCCCTTTCCTCCTCTCCCCCATTGGGTCTCCCTTAGCTCCCAGCCCACCTCTTTACTAGTAGTGGAAAAATTTATTTTTGTCAAAAAAGGGGGGAAGGCCTTTGGAGTTTATATTGCAGAATACTTTATAAAATGCATGGCAGACCTATTTCAAAAGTTTTAGGCTTGGCGCCTGTAGTACAGTGGTTACGGCAGGTAACCACTGCTGGCAGGTTCGCACCGAGTCCAGGCCAGCTAAACAACAATGATAACTGCAACCAAAAATAGCCAAGTTTGTGGCAGGTGACTATAATCCTAAATACTTGGGAGACTGACGCAAGAGAATCGCTTAAGCCCAAGAGTTTGCGGCTGCTGTGAGCTGTGACGCCATGGCACTCTACTGAGGGCAACATTGTAAGACTCTGTCTCAAAAAAAACATTTCAGAAGATACCAAAAAAAATCACAACCAAATTCTTGAACCTTGGGCTTAAATCTGGCTCAAAACAAAGCAACAATTAAAAGAGAAACAGCTATAAAAATGCTCTTGGTAGTACTCTGGGAGGCCAAGGCTGGTGGATGCTTGAGCTCGAGAATTCGAGACCAGCCTATGCCAGAGAAAGACCCCATCTCTAAAAATAGTTGGTATTGTGGTGGGCGCCTGTAGTCTCAGCCACTCATGAGGCTGAGGCAGATCACTCAAGCCCAAGAGTTTGAGGTTGCTGTGAGCTAACTCCGCAGCACTCTAATGAGGAAGACAAAGCGAGACTGTCTCCAAAAAAAACCTTGGAACACTTCAAATTTAAATATGAACTGTTTATTAGGTGGTATTATAGATTTTTAACCTTAATTATGGTATTGGTGTTATGTAAAAGAGTGTCCCTATTCTTAGGAGACAAATGCTTCCATATTTATCTGCAACGCACTCTCAAATGATTCAACCAAAGTATGGCAAAACATTATTCAATCTATGAATAGTGAATTCAATCTATGAGCAGGAATGTATTCAATCTATGAGCAGGTGCTCACTGCTCTGTTCTTTTCAGTAATCTGGGAAGGAAGGTGACAAAAAATAACTTGAAAATTGTAGATCAAAAAGTTTCTTATGGAACACTAGCCTGGATTAGAAGGTTCTTAACTTCCCAGGGTCAGAATTTCTATCTCTTCACCCACTCTTAACCTCACAGTAAGTTTTCACCAGATTAGAAAGTTATTCCAATTTGAATGTTGCTAAAGGTCTTAATTCTTCTTGCATCCAGCCAGTTTTCTACCCCTTTATCTCTGATTAAGCATGTAACGACAACAATCTCAGTGGCAGCATTACAGGCAGTCTCTGAGTTACAAATATCTGACTTACAAACAGAAGCTATTATACATACTAAGTAAATATACCTTCTCCCACTTACATACAAATTCACATTAAGAACAAACCTATAGAACCTAGTCTGTAACCTGGGGACTGGCTATATACAAAAGCTGTTAAATGTGAGCACCTCCCAACTATTAAATTCTACCCCTGCCTTAAAATCCTCAAGGGTTGCCACTCTTAGAATGGTATTCCACCTCCTCCCCAAGGCTAGTATTGCTTGATCTGGTCTCAGCTGCCTTCCCAGCCACCACCTTGCCCACCTGCCCCTTTCACTTACAATCCCGGAGGCTAATTTCCACCTCTGGGTTTCCATGCATGCTACTCCCCCCACATGAAATGCTCTTCCCAGCCTTGCTAGTTGATCCTTATCCATTACCTCTCAGTGCAAATGTCACTTACTCAAGAGGCCTCCTCTGACCGCCATTCCTGAGAGTGCATCTCTCACATTCACCTGATCCATATTACTTCTCTCAGAACACCATTTATATGTACAATGATTTTCTGTCTGTTCCCTAATAGAATTTAAAGTACAGATGCCATGTCCTGGGTAGAGTGCCATGGCATCATAGCTCACAGCAACCTCAAACTCTTGGGCTCAAACAATCTTCGTGTCTTGCCTCAGCCTCCTGAGTTGCTGGGACTATAAGCATGCACCACGACACCCATCTAGTTGTTTCTATTTTCAGGTCTCACTCTTGCTCAGGCTGATCTCAAACTCCTAGCTCAAGCAATCCACCCACACTGGCTCCCAGAGTGCCGAGATAACAGATGGGAGCCACCACCCCCGGCCTGAGTGCAGACTTTTTATTCCCCTAGCACTACCACAGGCTCTAATATTTAAATTCATCAAAGAGGGAGAGAAAACATTCTAAGAGTCAAAAAAAATCTGAATTATAATCCCCATTTTTATCACTTTTTTTTTGGTTGGCCACTTCACTTCACTCACCTCTTTGTGCATTGATGATGCCCTGTCTATCTATTACTATTACTTGTTAGTAGTTAGTATTACTAATACTTGTTTACTATTACTAAAGCAAACAAGATGATGAACATGGAAAGTGCTCTAAAAATAAAAAGCCTTATGTAAAATATATAATATGTTCATAACCAACAAGCTCTGAAGCTCAATCACATCTTCTAGTTTTACCTTGCTCACCTTTTTGTGGTTATAGATTTCCCCATTGTAACAGAGCCATAAATAAGGATATTTCTTCACTCGAATTGGCTGCATTCCAAACAGCTGATCAACCACCGCCAACCGGTGAAATCCAAAGCAACAGTTGGTATACCCATTGACATTTTCAAAACGAAACGCATCTGGACCCCTGTGTGCAATCTTCATAGCACTCAGACACTGAACAGAAAGGCAGTCATCACAGCCAAAGAGGGCCCAAATACCACACATGGTGCAATGCAGCTATAAGCTCTGCAGAGAGAAAAACAGAACATTCAAATACTCAATATCCAATCTAAGTTTGCATCAAATGTTGATTTCAGAAACTTGCATAAACCACTTCAAAGGTTGAAAAATAAGCAATCTTATCTATAGTGATTTTCCATTAGATTGGCAGGCACACAGGAGTAGAAAGTGATGTAATGCACTAGCACTCTGGGAGGCCAAGGTGGGAGGAATGCTTGAGTTCAAGTCCAGCCTAAGAAAGAGTGAGTTCCTAACTCTAATAAAAACAGAAAAATTAGCTGGGTGTGATGGTGTACGACTGTAGTCCCAGCTACTCAGGAGGCTAAGGCAAAAGGATCACTTGATGCCAGGAGTTTGAAGTTGCCGTGAGCTACAATGATGCCACTATACTCTAGCCCAGCTGACAGAGATTTTGTGTTTTTTTAAAAAAAAAGGCAGTGTGCAATGGCTCATGCCTGTAATCCTAGCACTCTGGGAGGCTGACAGGTGGATTGCCTGAGCTCAGGATTTCCAGATCTGCCTGAGCAAGGCTAAGACCCATCTCTAAAAATAGCTGGGCATTGTGGCTGGCACCTATAGTCCCAGCTACTTGGGAGGCTGAAGCAAGAGGATCACTTGAGCCCAAGAGTTTGAGGTTGCTGTGAGCTATGATGCCAGGGTACTCTACCAAGAGTGACCAAGTGACGCTCAGTCTCAAAAAAAAGTCCTGGGTGGCACCTGTGACTCAAGGAGTAGGGTGCCAGTCCCATATACCGGGTGGCAGGTTCAAGCCCAGCCCTGGCCAAAAAACTGCAGAAAAAAAAAAGTCCTAAATGACAAAATGTTCTCAAATATTTCTGTCTCAAAGCTGTGTTAGTCAATAAGAAAACAAAGTAGGTGAGACATATACCACAACATCCTAGAAAAACAATTAGGCTTAGGAAGTAAATAAAAATAAGCCTACATTTGTTAATTACTTTCCAATTTCAAATTCTCAACTGTGAAATAAAGGGCTGTGTGGCTGCTCCGAGTTCAAAACAGCTATTTTATCAAAGTATCTGTAACTTGGAAAATAACTATTTTGTTATTTTTTTTTAATTCAAATGTGCAGCAAATGTACAGATTATTTAGGACAAACACTCAAAAGAAATAATATATGTTCAAGTTACATCCATCCCCTTGAGCAACGTTTTGAGGATATTTCATTTACATCTAAATGAACGAAAACTTTGCTTGGTCTTTAAAAACACCAACAATGTAATGAAAAATGACATCAAGCTAATTTAAAAATGAAGTTGTAAAATGGGTTAGGAAAGTGCTAACTCATCAAGTGTGATCATCAGGGAGTCATTTACCTAAGCCTTCTTAAGACTACCTTAGCAAATCCCAGCATCAAGCCTGCTATACAAAAACACACACTAACCACTACACTGCAGAGAAAAGGACAAGTGTGAAGCGCATTTATTTTTCCAGCAGGAAAAAGCAAATTAAAACTATAACCTATTATTTTTATTGGAATCAGTCTTTAAAAAAGGCAAAGGTCTTATTTGTCATGCTTTTTCCTAGTGCTGCTGCCTATGCCCAGTAATGTTCCTATTTCCTCATAAACTTCTAGAGCAGTGCTGTCCAACATGAGCCACATATGTAACTTTAAATATATTGGTAATCTCATTAAAAAAATAAAAAGTTGTCACTAACTTTAAGTATATTTTAGTTAACACTGTATGCCTAAAATAGTATCAACATATAACTAATATGAAAAATTACTCAAAAGATAGTTTACATTGCTTTTCCTATTCAATTGTCAAAATCTATTGTATTTTACATTCAAAGGGCATCTTAATTCAGACTAGCCAGTATTTCAAGTGCTCAACTGTTATATGTGGTTAGCAGTTATCAAATTGGACTGAGATCATGTCACTTAGATTTAGAAGAAGTGACTACTTATAAGCCATCTATCTTTGACTGCCTAACAATAATATGCATGTATGTTAAAATGGCTTAGGAAAGTGCTTTGAAAAATCATTTACCTAAGTAATGCTGCTTAGTGAATCCGAGTATTAAGCCAGCAGTAGGAAAACACACCAACCACTAAATTAGAGGGGAAAGAGGCAGAATAAGTGTGTAAAGTGCATTTAATTTATATTCCACTTGCCAATTACTTAAACCTTGTCATACCATCTTACTTTTGAGTTAAGATTCGGTAACTGACTCCTGGGCAAGTGCAAGCCCTACTTTACTGCTAACTAATCTTAGGGCAATGCAATACATAATGATTTTATTTTTTAAGTTAGTGCTTTGAAATTATGAATCAATCACCCACGGCAGTGGACAGTGAAACAGTAACGTTGGCCAGGGGCCAAGATGAAAACTATCCCTTTATTTACAGAAGTAACTAATCTGAAGCCGGCTCTCCAGAAAAAGGCCAAGCCAGTTTTCCTTTTATTGTATTTGACAGCATGTCTCCCTATGCTTGGTAGGGATTGCTCAGCAAGTCACTTGTTGAGTCTTGCAGTCTACGGGAAGGGAGGAAGGTAGGGGAAGGAGGCAAGGTGAACAGGAGGCAGGTAAGGTGGAAAGTCTTGACACCGAAGCTGAGGGGGTAACTGACAACGCAGAGACTCTCCCTTCTAGACCTGGCCCAAGAGAATGCACCACAGCCCGTGACACCCGACTGCGCCCCAGCCACATGCACGCTCCTGCCGGTCCGCAGCAGGGCCTGCAGATTGCGAAAATTCCCACAGGCTTAGACGCCATCTGGTAAAAAAATAACATTTACAGGGGCTAACTTAGGCCTTCACTCCAGAACGTTCCAGCCTCCTGGCCGCGGTTCACTGGACACAAGCCTTTCCTCGCCAGCTTGCTCCCAGGTGCGCAACAATCGCTAGGCGCCCGCCCCGCCCTACAGGCAGGACCGCGGCATCCGCGGGCGCCCCGGAACCGCGTCTGCCAGGTGCCAGGTTGCAGCGCATCCTCCGTCCGCTCCCGGGGCAGTCCCGGGGCACGCACGGAGGCGCGCTGCGCGGGGCGGCGGAGGCCCGGCTTACCTGAGCACGAGCGGGTCAGGTTGGCGGGGCGGCCCGTAAGGTTGCAGACCGCAGGCGGGCGACCTCCGCTCACTTTATGCTCGCTCCGCTCCTGTAATACGTGCGGGAAGTTTCATCATGCCTGCGAGGACCAACCAGCGCGCGAGGGCGTGGCCCGCGATGCGGCAGCGGGCGGGGGTGGGGCGGGGCTGAGGCGGGGGCTGGGGGTGGGGACTGAGACCCGGCTGGACGGAGGCGGGAGGAGGGCAGGGATGGGGAGCAAGGTGCCCTTCTTCTTTTTCCAGTTCTTCGAAGTTGAAGGGGCCAGTGTAAGGGTAGCCTCAGAGACCTTTACCTTACCTGCATTTCTGACAATTAGGGAATCTTCTGCACTTGGTTTGCTCTTAGAGAAGTCATTACCAGTTTTGTTCCACTGTCTCACGCTTATTACGCAGTACAGGAAAAGGCTTGTCCTAAGAAACTGATGTGTAAGGCCTAAAATTTTTTATAAAATCTAAATCAAGTTTACACATGAAGCCAATATAGATGAGTAGTCCTTAAACGTGTTAAGTACAAAGATTCCTTTTAGAATCTCAAAACAGGTTTTCTCAACTTGCCTCCACAAGAAGATAATGCGTTTTCAGTATCCTTTTTTGATAAAGAAAATACATACATAATTTTTTTTAAAAAGATATGATTTCATAACACTCAAGTTAATTCTTACTAAGCACATCAGCACCTTTATAAGTTGAGAAATAGTAAAATTATATATTCAGGACCTGCTAAAATCAGACTACAGTCAATGCTTGACAAGGATACATTGATATCCCCATACAATGCAGGCCCAGCTAATTCAAAAATTGCCAGGAATAGAAAATTCCTAAGCACAGAACAGTAGTAGACACATAGTAGTTGACAGGCAAGAGCAAAGATAAATGTTTACATTTCTAAGGTTATACTTCACCCCAAAGTTTTCAGCTTTTACTCTGACATTATGTCCATCAATGTATCCTAACTGACACAGTATCTTTTAAACTCGAGAGCAACATGGGAAAGTAGATCTTCTATCTACATTTTATAAAGGAAAAAATAAGACTCAGAGAAACTGAGGGATGTATGCAAACGCACACTGCTTCACAACAGTAAAGAACTGAGTCATAATCTGTGTACAGCAGAGCCTATTTCTCCCTGCCCATGTAGTGGAAGACAGGGTCCTGTACTTGATATGCTATCTAGCATGGCTGGTCGTGCTGAGTATCTCCTGCTTGTCCTTCCAGAGCCACTTTCCACCCTTTTGTAGCTCCCTTTGTGTCCTGGCTTCCTTGCTGCCTCTTACAGGGAGATTATGCAAAAAGAGACACTTCAAGGAGATGGAAAGAGTGGGATGGAGTAGTCTCAGGATATTTATTTCCTTGGCTCCCTATGTGGAAGCTCCTCTCCTGAGGGCCTCAGCTCCTGTTAGTTGACCCTTCCCATGCCTCTTTCTCTTCAGATTCCAAGAATTGCTCCCTCTACTTCCCTTTCGGGCATCTTGCTTATCCTAAATGCTACCCACATTTCTGTAATTAATCCCAATAAAAGTATGCCATCTACTTCCTATCAGACCCTATCTGATACATTAGTGTAAGGTGTAATAACTGAGGATGCACTGTATTTAACTAGAGTTGAAAACAATTCATTTAATTGTTAGACACAAATAAAAACTAAATTGTGTTGGCCTGTTTCCACATGTCGCTCCAACTCCATATTGAAATCTTACCCCCAAAGTACCTAGGAGCTTTTAAAATTCTTTGACCTAAGTCACTGAGGAATCAGAATAACATCTTCCGCTGTCTAGCTTCCCATCTCAAAATGTAATCAACAATATAAGATTACACTTGGTCAGCCATGAGAGACTTAATTGAAGTCTAAAGTCCTTTTAAATATCAAGTAAATCAGTCTAGGCAAGGTGGCTCATACCTATAATCCTGGCACTGTAAAAGGCTGAGATGAGAGAATCATTCGTGAGCTCAGAAGTTCCGAACCAGGCTGAGCAAAAGATTGAGACCCTGTCTCTACTGAAAATAAA